TAACCCAAGAGGCTGGTGCTGCCTGATGGTCACGTGCCAAATGGGTCATGTGCCAGATTGCTTCAGGAACACCTGGATCCTCATTGGATCTAAACGGATGTGTACCTGGTCCATTGCCTGGAGCAGGTGAAGGAACCATACCTGTGGTCCACACCATCCGCACACTTGTTTCCTCCTGGGTCCAGGCCAGATCTGTTAGACACTGGGCCAAACTTCTCACCGATAATTAGGGTCTTAGCACAGAGATGTGAAGATAAAATTGTATATTAAGAGATAACTGAGTCTAGACAGCCTACTCCATTATTTTTTGGCTTGTAAACCCCTTGCCGTAGGGTTGTTTGGCACATAGAGCTCAACCTAAAGCATTAATAATACTCGGTGAATGCATTCAGTGCCAGCATCGGCACTCTCTGCTCTTCCATGCTTCTGGCTGAAGGAGCACTTACTTGGCTTCTCTCGCCTTCCTGGAAGGGCTGGAGTGGACTTTAAGTTTTCCCATCTGTCTTCTGTCCTTCCATCTCTCCTCCATCCCCGGTAGACCCATTCATCCTCATGCCGAGTCTGTCTGCTTCTCTAGAAATTCACCCCGGCATCCTTCCTGTAGTTCTGGTCAGACTGAAGGAAACTTCTAAAGTGCAAGCTAGCAATTGTTCCAGGAGTCCAAAGAACATAAGGTCTTTATACAAAGTTAGCACGCTGGTGGGAGGGGGTAGGGATGCAGCCTGGACAATTTCTCCAGCTGGCACAATGGGCGTGGCCCTCATTCCCTAGCTCTCAGGCTGCCGCCAGTGCGGGCTGCTCTCCATAGGCCAGGCTTTTAAAGGGTCGCTGTCGTGTGTTTATTGGTGTACATGGTGAGGACAGAACCACAAGCTGGCCCCTGTGTAGCAGCGCCCACGTTAGCGCTGTAGCCCAGCCAGGTAGGTCATTCCGCTGCCACCGTACGAGCCATGGGCCATGGCAAGGTGTCTACTTGTGGCTTTTAACCTGACTGTTGACCACACTGGCCTGTGCTTTGGCCAGAGAGAAAGAACCGTGGTCCATACAGAGGAGGCCTGGGTGTGACTCTGAGGGATGCTAGCAAGGTAAGGGCACGTGCTTGCTGAATATGCTCCTGGTGCCAGGCCGCAGCTCCTGTCTGTCTCTGGGAGCCAGACGAAGGGTCGCGGCGTGTCGTTTATATAGGAAAGACCAAGAGGCCAGTTGTTTCTCTGTAGTTAGAAAACTGGAATTCTTTGAAAACCTGTGTCGTTAGGCAAGCCTATTTCACGCAGATGTTTGCTGACGTAACAGGCCGGTGACAGATGCTTAGAATTGATGGAGAACATCTTTCTCAAAGGCACACACGACATGGGTTTCTCTTAGGGTTCAGAGGAGTCTATATTATTGGCAATTCTGGTGCATGCTATTTTGAGGGTCTTCTACAGAGTGTTCAAATTTGGAATCCTAGGTAATATAAGCAAGTTGCTTTTCCTTCTAAGCTATACTCTTGCATTCATTTTAAAAAGAATACACAAGGCCAGTCCCCAGCTTACCATTTACACACTTGGATTTAGAAAAAGGCAGAAAATGTCTTAGGCACTCCTCCCGTGGCAGATGGGGAAACTGAGGCAGCATGCAGTTCAGTAACAACTTAGAGGTGTCGTAAATAGTAAGATGGTGGTGCCAGAACACAGGGCAGAGTGAGTAATTTGCAGCCGATTGAACCCACCACCTCTTTTCCTCCTGGCTAGAACTTTGTAAGAGTGAACAGGCTAAACCATTCAAGGGAGGCGTCAAAGTGAGCTTTCCGTTTTCAGTCGTGATATCAGGCGCCTTAAATTATGTTGGTTCCCAAAGTCCAACCCTTTGTAGGTTCTTGAATGTCAAGTGCAGCGACTGTCACTCGTACAACTTTGTGAGAAGCTGCCAGGTGACCACAGAAGGGTGAGGCGAGCACCAGCAGCATCGCTATACTTAGGAAACAGATGAGCCTTGAAACCAGAGTCTTGCTTGACCCTGCGAGGCTGCAGGGTTGACCTGCCACCCTAAGGCCAGCCAGTCGGGGACGGGACATAGTTTGTGGGTCCTCCTTTCAGGTCTTGTTTCTAGGCGGGATCCGAGAGCTTTCCTGCAGTGGTTCCCTCCTGGAATGTCTCCTCCCAGGGTGGCTGAGGTTGCCAACGCCCTGCTCAGCCTGTACTGTCCACGCCCTCAGGCTTCTTTCTCGGGCCACTCAGTGAGTTTCATGTCTGCTTTCCCTGCACACATCACAAACATGCCTGCTCAAGGGTTCAATCAGGTGACTGCACTTCACGAGATCCTTTCAGCCCCTGCATGGCCCCTCTGCCCTACAGGACACAGCTTCTCCCAATCACAGGGCCACTGTGTTTCCAGATAGTTTGCGTAGCTCAGCACCAGTGGTTGTTTGCTTAGGAGTTTGGAGTCCAGCGTGCTTTCCTGTCCAGTTGTCTCTTTCGGGACGCTTGCGAGTTAGACTAGCCCTGAAGATGGAAGCCACTTTCTTACCTTGAAAGCTTCTCATAGGGTTAAGCTAAGTTATATAATGTTCTTTTAGACAAACAGCATGATTGGTGTTGACCTAGGTGATGGTGAAGGCTTTCAGAGACTCCCAGAAGCAGTTCCCTTTGTTAGGGAATTGGAAAAGAAAAACAAAACAAACAAACAAACAAACAAACAAACAAAACGAGCAAAAGTGCATCAGGAAGTAGGGAAAATATCTCCCCTTTGCTGCAAGTGCTGTGTTGACCAGACCCCAGCGAGGCAGATGGCCCAGGGCAGCCCTTGGAGGCCAAGGAGGGAAGATCATGGGGGCAGTGGGATGCACATATGCAGAATGACGTAACCAAATCCAAAATGTCTGTTTCATCTCCCCGGAGAGACCAGTCACTCTGAGAAAGAGCCCAGGATGCCAGGGTTTGCTGGAGAAAGGTTCTGCCATGAGAAGTCCTGGCTAAGAGAGGCTGTTCTCTCTAAAGGTCACGCTTATTGACCTAAGGGAATATGACCTCCATTCATGTCATAAATGTCCAGGTCCAAGTCTGGTGACAGAAATGAGTAAAGCAAGTTTCTTTCCTTAAGTAACTGTTCTAGGGAGGAAGTGTGCTTGTGAACATACAAGAGTACCTTGGGGGTGCGTGCTTGTGAACATACAAGAGTACCACAGGGGTGCCTGCATGTGAACATACAAATGTACCAGGGGTGCATGCTTGTGAACATACAAGTGTACCAGGGGTGCGTGCTTGTGAACATACAAGCGTACCACAGGGGTGCATGCTTGTGAACATACAAGTGTACCACAGGGGTGCATGCTTGTGAACATACAAGTGTACCAGGAATGCACGCTTGTGAACATACAAGAGTAGCGCAGGGGTGCATGCTTGTGAACATACAAGAGTACCGCAGGGGTGCATGCTTGTGAACATACAAATGTACCAGGGGCGCATGCTTGTGAACATACAAGTGTACCAGGGGTGCGTGCTTGTGAACATACAAGTGTACCACAGGGGTGCATGCTTGTGAACATACAAGTGTACCAGGATAGCATGCTTGTGAACATACAAGAGTAGCGCAGGGGTGCATGCATGTGAACATACAAGAGTACCGCAGGGGTGAGCATGCGCACTTACACATGTGAGGGGCAGAAAGGGAGGGGGAGAGAGAGAGAGGAATGGCAAAACCAGGCTGACAAAGGGGCCAGCCACAGCTCACAAAGTCTCTGTGAACTTTAGAGCCGTGTCTTTTTGTTAGTTATCATGTTTATACCATGTGAGCATTTTGCCCGTGTGTCTGTATCTGTACCACGTGTGTGCCTGGTGTCTGTGGCGGTCAGCAGCTCAGATTCCAGGAGGTCAGACCTCCTGGAGATGGAGTTAGATATGGTTGTGAGCCTCCATGTGGGTGCTGGGAACCAAACCCGGGTCCTCTGGAAGACCCCTGAGCCATCTCTCCAGCTCCCTGTTTTTGTATCTTACCTGTCTGGGCTGATCGCATTTCAAATGCTTGGCAGTCACATGGCTGCAGCTGCCATACTGGGACAACTGTGGACAGTGGCAGCAAAGCCTTTTGCGTGGGGAGTCAAGACTCAGAAACCTTACCTTCTGTCAAGTGGGGCAGACTCGTTTCCAAAAGTGTGACGCCGTAGGGTATTTTCCCCTTCATCTATAAACAACTTGAAAACTGGGTACCATACATTTAAAATTCTTTTTAAAAGAATTAGACAAGATAGAAAGGACATTCAGGTGGAAATTCCAGGGAGTCTGGGAACCTGGAGACTTAACGCACTACACCCAAAGCGCGTTTGAGAACATGCAGCAGTGTGGGCATCTGGGTTTCCAGTGCCATCCATTCAGCACAGACATAGGAGCTAGAGCCTGCCAATGGTCAAATGGGAGATACCAACTATACAAAACAAGACCCTGAGTAGCTATAACGCCACATAAAAGTGTGCATGTGTGTGTGCGCACTAGTGCATAGAGGTCAGAGGGCAACTTTCGGAAGTCCATTATCCCTTTCCACCTGCTGAGGCAGGGGCTCCCATTTTCCCACTATGCTTTGTACTCCAGGCTAGTTGGCCTGTGAGCTTTTAGACAATTCTCCAGCCTCTGCCTACAATCTCTCTCCAGCAGTGCTGGGGTTTCAGATCACACCACTGCATTTGGCTATGTATTTATTTAAAACATGGTTTCTAGGATCAAAAGGTTGTCAATCTTGTTCAAGCACTATTGCCTTCTGAGTCATCTCACTGGCTCCTAGGAAGGTAGGTGTGTGTGTGTGTGGTGTGGTGTATGTGTGTAATTATCCTCTGCATTTTGAATGTTTGTTTTAATGAGCCACAAAACCCTAAATAAAATAAGTAAATAAAAAGTACTAAATAAAAGAAATTCAGTGTATAGGTTTACTGTCAGTTTGCACACATGAAACCAATATTGGTGGACTAGAAGATGAATCAAAGAAATGTACAGAATTTGACAAACACAGAGGTGAAAAAAATCAAAGTATGAGGAAGGAGTTGGTCTGTTTAATGGGGGCTGGAGACAAAGAAGAGGCAACGGCTAAGAATTTTCTAGAGCGGATGACTGTATGACTCCAAATGTTCAAGAACTCAATGGCATCTGTGGGGAAAAGAAAGTCACATTAAGACACAGTGTGGAGAAATTACAGAACACCAGAAACACAAAAGAAGATATTAATTGTAGGCAGGCAGAAGACAATAGATTGCCTCACAAAGAGTGGCAGACAATGCAACTGTGCCTCTGACGTGTGAAGAAAAATGAAGATGTGCAGTTTGACCTGACACACCTAAGCCAGTCAGTCAACCCCCCTCCCCCATGGCACACTAGCCCTGATCCTAACCAGTGAATCAACTGTTAAAGGAACCATAAAAGTTAACAGTCTCTAGAGTGTAGCTCAGTTGGTAGAGGCCTGGGTTCAATCCATAGTACCACATACCCCAGGCATTTCATAGCTAAGAGCACGAGCATCGTCTGAGGTGATCCATAGCTATGTAGGGAGTTGAGAGTCTGGGCTACATGAGGCCCTGTCAAAGAAGGAAGGGAGGGAGGGAGAAAACAGAAAAATAAGGAACAGCGTATTTGTCCGTGATCATTTGGAAAAGCAGCCCCTTGACTACAGAGTCCATGTAAGCAACAGAGACCTTGGGTTCATTCTGCATCCGTGAGAGGTCTCTCCTGTAGTTACAGTACTAGCTGATACGGCAGCATGGGGGAGGTCTTCTGGCACAGGAAGGAAACATCTGACAGAAGCTTTATCACTGACGTTTTAAGAGTCTGTCTAAAAAAGTCACACAGCTGTAACTTAATCTTGACTGCATTCTTAACCTAATTATCCCGTCCATATCTCTAGGGCTGTGACAGGTGAGGGACAAGTGTGTGCGTCTCAGCTCTCATCTGGATCTGTTTTGTCCTATCTCAGAACTTCAGGGAGCAGCTACTATGCTGGACCCTTTCCGTGATTCCAGCTACAGAAGCCTGGAGGTTGGCCTGCTTGGCCTAACCTGGTGTTCAGAGGGGCTTCCGTGGCAGTGTCTGTGTCACCGTTAAACCATTTTAGTCTTAGCAGTGTTGGAGGTAAAAGGACTTGGAGAAAGAAGGCTCTGTAGGAAGGTCTTTAAAGGATCTACAGGGGCTCCATGAGGCAAGGGGTTTGCCCTTTCCACCAGGACTCGGAGTCCAAGCGGAGGGTGGGAGGGATTGGAGCCAGAGGCAGGAGGGCGGGTTCACGGAGGCCCAGAAGCTGGCACAGAGAGCGAGGTGGGCGCACTCCCCTCGCCATGGCCTCTCACCACCAGGGTCCACTGTGAGAGAAGGGTGGGGATCGCCAAGTCTTGGCTTTTTCTGTGGCCTGTGGCAAGCTGCCCATACTGTGAGCCTGTTTCTTCACCTTTAGAGGAACACGAACCCTGACAGGCAGAAATGTGTTCCCGCGCGACCTACGCCTTGTCTACGCGTGTGAGCTGTAAACCATGCCTGCCCACAGTTTGTGAGTCCCCTTGGCTCCTGTCCGTCACCTTCCTTAGGCCCTCAGCGCCTTTCCCTGGGCCCTGGTTGTCACCCCGAGCTGTTTGGTCCCCTCCTCCAGTGTCACGGCTGTGCTGTATGTCCAAGATCCTACAGCCTTAGGTTGAACATTTTGCCTGTTTTCCACACCAAAGGCCAGATGGAATGAGGTCCACACCCTGACTCCTGGTGTCCCCCCCTGGCTGCCAGGCCACAAGGGTTTGGACAGTCACTCAGAACTTCACTGGCAAGCTCAGACTAAACATCGGGGACGTCCTCTTCAGGGCCCTCTGAAAAGGCAGGGTAAAACTAAAGTCCAGAGTTACTGTTCAGACTTATTCATGTGCTGTAAACATGCATCGTGCCTTCGCATGAGGCCAGCGTAGTCGGAGGCCTGGATCCCCTGTGGGCGGGGTTCAGGGATCTCAGCAGCTCGGGACAGCTGCTTCCCCGGACCTGTGTGACTTTGGGAAAGCCTCACCTGTAATTTGAGGTGTGGACATCCATCTGGCCAGGTGCGGTTGGCCACAGAAGGCCCTCCTCCTCCTGTTGGATACTGTTCACCCCTGAGAGGTGACTTCCCCATCCTCCCAAGCTGTATCTCTGAGTCGCAGCAGGGCTGGTTGCCATGGATACTGCTGGGCAGATGAGGGCTGAGATCATCAGACTTAACAAATGGGAACTCAGGGCACCAGCCACATTTGAATTTCAGGCAAACAATGAATAATGTTTTCGTGTTTGGTTCCACTGGTGCGTGGCTCGTAATTTATGGCAAACATGCCTTCCGTTGGATAGTGCACGGTCATATTTATGAGAGCAAATGATGTGCAGTTTATGAGAAATTACAAGTTGGTTGTCTGCCTTGTATTTCACCTGGTGACCTTAGTGAGGATGGGAAATGACCTTTCCACCAGAGTCGAAGATTTCACTGACAACAACTAGTATTAGGGGAGGACACCAGCTAGGTGAGTGAGGGGAGGACTCCAGCTAGGTGAGTGAGGGGAGGACTCCAGCTAGGTGAGTGAGGGGATGGCTGTAAAACTATGTGGAAACTTCGCTGGGCCCCAGTCTGACAGGAGAACATACAGTTTATACCCTCTTCTCCATAGTTAAAATTTTTAGTGTATCTCATTTATACTTATGTTTATTTACACGTGTGCTTGGCCGTGCTCATACACATGTGAGAAGGTCAGAGGACAGTTTGTGGGACTTCATTCCTTCCACCATGTGGGGCCCAGGGATGGGATTCGTGTTAGGCTTGGTGATAAGCACCTCCTACACCATTTTGCTGGTCCTTTCTACTTAATAAGTTGTCCCGACCCTCAGGACACTCATTGTGGGTCTGGTGGACACCTCGGAAAAAGATGGGGGGCAGGGGACACAAGGACGGACGCCAAGACAAGAGTCTGATCAAGGCGACAACTTTATTCATTCCAAAGGGATTTATATAGGGGAAGGGAGGAGGAGAAGGAATGGGGGATGTGCTGTAGCTGCGATGAACCTGGTGGAGTGAAGGTTAGTGGGATGGGTAGGGCATCCTGGGTCCTCTGGTAACATAAATGCAGACTCTAACTTTATCTTTCACATTCCACCTTCTATTGTTTGAGCCTACGCCCTAGATAAGCTGCAGGTCTGTTTCTGGAATTTGGCAGGTAGTAGGGTGGTCCCGAGTCACATACTTTCTATGAGGGTCTTCCTATGAGGCAGCCATACCTGGTTGATGGCCGGAGGTCCCTGACAATAAGTGGCTTTATTAAAGGTCCTATGTTCCAAGAGGGACAGAATTGAATATCACAAGGTCCCAGCCTAAGGAAAAATGTCTCTTGGAAAGAAATGTTTTTAAAAAAAATGTTTCAGTACAATTTCAGAACTATGTAAGGAGGCCACACACACTCTTACATTTCTCTCCTAATCAGTTTGGTAGTTGTGTACACTTTAGCATCTTTTTATTCCTTTCAAAATTCTGATAAAGCTGGTTTGTGTGTGTGTGTGTCTGTGTGTGTGTGTGTGTACACTCCTATTTCTTTGTGAGTAATGAGTTTGTATTCTGAAAATAAGTCTTATCCTATCCCAATGTGAACAAAGTAGAAAAAATTAAAATTTAAAGCAGGTATTTGTTGTATAGATTTAAAATTTTAGTTGTAACATTCCTTAAATGATCCTTGACTGACGTGGGAGAGATGACTTAGAGGTTAGGAGCATTTCCTGCTCTTCCAGAGGATCTGGGTTTGATTCCCAGCACCCACATGGTGGCTACAACCCTCTGAACTGCAGTTCCAGGGGGATCTTGTGTTTTGCATCGTCGTCTTCTGGTCCCTACAGGTTCCAGGCATACGCAGTGTACAAACATACAGGCAGACAAAACACTCATACACACATTTTTTAATTGAAAGATGATTAATTAATTTTTGTTATTTTAGGACATAGTTTCTGTAGCCCAGGCTGATTTCAAATTCATGGCAATCCTCCTGCCTCAGCCTTCTAGGTACTGGGATTACAGGTGTGAGCCACCATACTCAGAAAGCCTGGACATTTCTGATGTCGTTTTTAGGTTATTTTTTAAAGGCCTTAAGACTGAACCACTTTCAGTTTCTGTTGTTGTTTTATCTACTACAAGATCTTGCTCTTTGGCCCAGGCTGCCTTCAAACTTGCCATTCACATGCCCGAGTCCCGGGGTTTCAAGTGCACACCATCATGCCTGATTCCTTGGTTGGTTTTAAAATGACATTTAAAGGAGATTGTGTAGTCTAGGCTTACCCTGAACTTGCTGTAGCCAGGGGTAACTTTGAACCTTTTATCCTCTTGCCTCCCAATTTCTGAGATCACAAGTGAGCATCATGTATGGTTCCTTAGCTGACTTTTCTTTCCGAATGACTTAGCTATAGCCAGGTTGTTGGTTTTCAGGGCCAAGGAATCCAGTGCGCTCCCAGGAAGTGTCAGCCGGGGACACACAGTGGCTGAGGAGTTTGTACTGTGCCTAGCCTGTGGTAAGGAGCCAGTCAGTGGAAGGATGTGAGAACCTCAGAGACAGAGAGACTACATGGAAAAGCTATCAAGAGACAGTGAGAGCCATTGTGGATGGACAGTGTCTTAACCAGGGTTTCTGTTGCTGTGGAGAGACACCATGATCACAGCAACTCTCACAGAGGAACCGTTTAATTGGGGTGGCTTATAGCTTCTGAGGCTTAGTCCATTATCGTCATGATAGGACTCCAGCAGAACTGCGCACATCGGTAGACACAGGCCCAACTCAAGAGAGAATGGTGTGTTAATCATTCATTTCAGCTAATTTTAATACGCATGTAATTACATAGGTAATTATGTGCAATAAGTAGGTGTAATTATATTTTATAAGGTCCTTTTATAATTTAACTTTTAACTGATGATAATTTAGATTAGAGATGAAACCTCTCCTCAAAAGCCTCTGAAATACAAAACATAGCTGGGGAGATCCTGATGCAGGACCGTGGATATTGTCTCCCGGTGCTAAAGACACAGGTGTCCCCTGCATCTCCCCATAGTCAAGAAGAGGCAAACAGTAGCTACACCACCACTCGCAAATTCCACACTGGCGCCATGCCCTGCCCAAACCTGAAATCAGAACACAAATTCAGTTAGTGGGACCTGAGCAAACAGAAAGGCTTGACTGAGGCCTGGCTGTGTACCCAGAATGACTGTCCCCGGTGGGCCCTGACAGTGGGCGGGGCCAGCACAGTGAGCATAGTCTGTGTGTACTGCAATGGAGAGTCTGGGATCTTCCATCCGAGATGGGGCGCCACCTGCAGGCGCTATGTGTAATCACAGGCCTCTCAACTCGCACCTAAATTACCTTTTGAGGCCCCAGACAACTCCAGAGGACTGAAGTGGGGGACTCGCCACCATGTGTCATACCTTGGCATCCTGCCCCTCAGCTTTCCATTTCTCGGCCAAGCCTGACGCCCCTCTCACAGGATCCCCAGGGGCCCATATTTCTCCAAGGAGCTTCATTTAAATCTTGGCCCTCAGGGACACCAAGTCCCCCTGATACTGTGTGGCTTTATTTACTGGGCACCTCCTCTTCTTGTATTTTTTAAAACATATTTTTAGTTAATTCAGCAATACATATTTCTTCTTCATGACTATATTTCTGTGTCACCAAACTGGAAGCAGAGTAGTGTCTGCGACATTTCCAGCCCCGTCCTGGGATCTCTGGAGTATCTATCCACATTTCTCACTCAGGTGCCTGGACTGCCCGGTGAAACTGAGGCAAGGTGACGGTGACTGAAGAGGTGGCCATTGAAAGGAAGCCCCTGAGAAAGCTGGGCCCTTACTCTGTGTGTGATGGATTCCCACTCTGAAATCCCCCACTCTGACCGCTCTATTGAGCCATTTTCGGTGTTCCTGAACCTTCCAAGACTTGAGGTGTCTTGATATATCAAGTGTTTATGATGGGGTGATGTTGTCCCCAAAGGGACAGACAAAGGTAAATACACAGCTCTATCTCAAATATATACATTTATAGCACATTCTCAAATATATACATTTATAGCACACACACACACACACACACACACACACACACACACACACACACACGCACGCGCGCGCGCACAGTTTATTCTGGAGCCAAAGATGAGTGACCATAGCCTGGGAACCCAGATTTAGGTTACTCCATACACCATGAGCCAATACAGTAATGGTTTCATGAAAAGAATATAGATTTATTTTCTATATGTAATATAGATAAACATACAAGAAATATATATATATACACACACATATGTCTCTGTGTGTGTGTGTGTGTGTCTGTGTGTGTGTGTCTGTGTGTGTGTGTAGGGTGTTTTGCCTGCACGTATGAATGTGTTCTGTGTGCATGCCTGGTGCCTGCAGAGGCCGAAAGAGGACATCAGATCCGTAGGAACTGAAGGCATAAATGGTTGTGAGCTGCCATATGGGTGCTGGGGAACTGAACTCAGCCAGTGCTCTTAACCGCTGAGCCATCTCTCCAACCCTTGTGTGAAACTTTTATAGCAACAGAACCAAGAAAATCGTAGACCAAGATACTTTAAAATGCATTAGTGGAAGCTTCTGGTGGATGGGAAACTACAACGTGGGAAACCTCCACTACAGGCTTCTGACGCTATCTGATGACATTCTGAGGCTGGGGTTAGTGATGGCCAGGGCTTGCTCCATTCTTACAGTCCCCAAAGGACTTTAACTGATGGTCACACCCCAAGGAGGGCAGTACATGATTATCAAAAGGAGCTAAAGACGGGCCAAGGTCCTTTGGCTCTGGATCTGCAACATTGCAACTCGCCATAATCTCTGCAGTTTTGAGCAGTCAGCCAGTCTCGTAGAATACTCAAATAGAAGTAGCTGCTTCGAATGGACACGGGGTCCACGTGCTTCCCTGCCGCTTATCCCTTGGGTTCACTATGTGGTCATCAGTGAGAGTGCCGCGGGGAAAGCCCCATGTGGCAGGCAGATACCTGCTTAATGCTCTGAGGACTGCCAGCAGATGACAAGCCGTTGGTTTGTAGATTTGCATCTTTATTGGTAGGTAAGCTGAGCACAGGTTTGCCCAAGGTCACGTTGTGGCTCCTCCCTCTGGTCCTCCTCTCTTATCCCACCTCCTCTCGGCTCC